CTCTTAAAAAATATAGCCACCAATTTTCAAACTTTGACCTTAAAGAACTGTATCAAATACCTGATCAACATTCCAGAGAAGGGTTGTTTAGACAGAAAATATACTGCATCTTTGTGATGCTAACTAGGTGCTCATGTGAAAGACTAAGGTTTTACCTCTAGCTCTGCTCACATAAAATAGTTGTGATAGGCATATTCCCAAAAGGGGGTTTGCATTTATCTCTGTAAGTTACTAGTAAAGACATCTAATTTTCATCTCCTAAATCAGGAGATTTTTTTCAATGGTGATGATGTAGTTTTATTCAAACCATCTCATAAACCACACCTTTTATACTGCTAGGTAAAGGTGCTTATGGAATATTTTCAGAAGCAAATTTGAGATTGTTGCTTCATTGTTTTTCTGGTATCTGCTATACACAGTGCATATATATTTGCACAATGACTAAAAAGGTGGATTTGGAAATGGGGTTAAAATGATGAAAAGATAATTAGTTTTAAACTTCTATTGGTGTGTCTGTTTTTATTACATGTGCACAGTTTTAGTACTGGTATTAAATGTCATAGAAATTACCAGGCAAGAAATACATACACCGTTAAAATTTACCAGATTATTTATAGTTTCTAGCAAATAAACTCTTCTCTACAAATAAAATTACATCGATTTAAGCATTACTAAATACAAAATACAACACATGACATAGTTTTTCTCCTGAATCTGTTTCTAACTGTGTAATTGCTGCTGTTCCATTTTATTAGAACACATTATACAATAGCATAAAAGGCACCAATAAAACGTCCTGTAGGTTAGGAATTCATCTTTGGTTGAAAAAGAACAACAAGAATGGGGAACCATCTTTCTGATAATGGCTGGTGGTTCACTTACATTACACAGTATCTATAGTCACTTTATGAGCACTCAACTGAAGGGTATTATTTTCTATTCTGTAAATATTTCTCCAATCAGAATTACCATATTGTCATCTGAGGACACCTAGAAACCTCTCAGGGAGCTGGTTAAGAAACCAAAGTGGAAGCATTGTTGAATTCACCATGGAATCATGAATGCCTTCAAACATTAAAAAAATCTTCTGTTATTTCTGTGTTTAAGTGATTGAATAGACTACAAGGAATGCATTTAATAACATCACAGATTTGTGTGTGTGTGTGTGATTAGCAAATTACAATGAAGAAAGGAAAGTAATTTTGGTAACTAGTTTTCCAAAAAGGAAGTTTGAATCTAGAACTGGCAGGTTTTGTAAATCCTTCTAATTGTTTCTTTTTCAAGTACAAAAAACTTTTGCAAGTGTCTATCAATCATTTGAATAAGAATTTTAAGACTTTAGCATGTGCATTACTCTGTGCTTTTTTCTTTTCTTTTAAGATTTATATATTTGAAAGGCAGAGTGGCAGAGGAAAAGACAGAGAAACATATCTTCCATGTGCTGGTTCACTGCACAAATGGTTGTGATGGCCAAGGCTGTGCCAGGACAAAGCTAGTATGTGGCAGTAGCTCAAGCACTCAGGCCATTGTTACTGCTTTCCCAGGCATATAAGTCGGGAGCTGGATAAGAAGCATAGCAGCTGGGACTCGAATTGGCAACTCTGATATGCGATGCTGTGGTCCCAAGAGGCTCCTTAACCCCACTGTGTGACAATGCCATCCCCTGTATTACTCTGTTTAGAATTACTATAATGAAATATCTGAGTCTGGGTTACTCATAGAGAAAAGGGGTGATACAGGGGGCATGACCTGTAGAGATAGGGTGCATTTTTAGAAACTGATGTAAATAGAATCACACAATGTTAGTTCTTTTAGGTCTGACTTCTTTTATTTAACATTATTGTTGTATTTTTATATATATGATAATATTTAGCACTAGTTTGTTTGCTTATACTATTCTATTTTAAAGATTAGAAAATGTATTCATTCATGTTAGAGTGATGGACACAGAATTTTTTTCCAGCTAAAAGATGTTACAAATAATGCTGTCAAAAATATTCTTGGGCATAGGTTTTGGTTGAAATGTACACAAAGTGCACCTATTGCACCTGGGGAGGATGTACTTGGAAATGAAATTGCTGGTTCATAAAACAAACATATGGTCAACTTCAGCAGATAATGCCAAAACAGTTTTCCAAAGCAATTTTACCGATTGACACTGCACCAAAAATGAATCAAAGTTCTAGTTCATCCACTTTCTTGCCAACATTATTTGAAATGCTAATTTTCAAAAAATCATGAGGCTCTTTGCACATGTAAGGAGTTTGGTATTGCTACTCCATCCTAATAATAGTCAAAAGCTGAACAAACTGAGAAGCCAACAACTCTCCTTAGATCTATAGGAAGAGCAGGGTCACAAGAAAACATGCTGCCTCCAAAACTGAAGATACTGGCAGATGCCAAAAATCAGTACCAAAAATTTATGAAGTGAAAGCTACAAAGGAATCAGTCAGTGCTGGAGTAGAAAAACTTGGATTGCAAGTTCTGCATTGTTGGAGGCTCAGTGAAAAAACTCTGAATTAACTTGTGTGGCTGGGAGCCAGTCATAGGTGAGTGTCCATGCTTTTGTGAGTTTTATCCAGGAGCTTGACTATCTTCTTAGAGTAAATATTGGAAAATGAAATGCCCCTGTTCTTCCAGAAGGGAGAGGTAAGTGAAAGCATTCTGAAATACGATAGAGTGTTCTGTTCTCAACAAGGTTTGCCCCAAGAGAAACGGCCTAAACAGTGCCTAATCTAATGGGATTTTATCAGAGCCAAACCACTATTAGAGAAGGGAAATACTCACCTTCTAGCTTGATCTAGCTTTCTACATGAAAGAAAGAAAATACTCCAGCCCTCTATAGCCATCCTGTACCAACGAAGAGGAAGGAGGAGTGAACATCACTTGTGAATTTTACAGTACAGACACATAGACACAGTAAAATATTTAGATCTGTAACATCATAGAATGCTTCCACATGCACTGACACCTTACCACTACATTAGCAAAGGCTAAAGAGCTCTGTTTATTTAGTACATCATGCTCAGGAATCAAGAAAACTACACAAGACATATTGAAAGACTAAAACCAGTTTGAAGACACAGAAGTATCAGAATCAGGTGCCACTATGGCAGGGATGTTGGGATTTTATGTCATAGATTTAGAACAACTATGAACAGTATGTCAAGGATGACAAGAATGAAAGTGGATAACACGTAAGAACAGAGGGGCAATGTAAGCAGACAAATCAAAGAAAGAACAACCACAAAAACTGTTAGCAATGAAGACCAGCACAACAGAAATGACTTTTATATGAGTTTATCAGTAGATCTAATGCAGTTGAGCAAACAATTTCTGAGCTGGAGGATATCTCCATAGAAACTTCCAGAACTTGAAAGCAAAGAGAACAAAGACAAAAATAGCCATAATATCCAAGAAAAATGGGAACTAATATAAAAGGTATATTGTACACATGATGGCAATCACTGATAAAGTAAGAAGGAAATTAGTGGAAGAAATATATGAAACAATAATCACAAAGAATTTCTTCAAATTAAATTTAAACGCCAAAAGATAGAGCAAGTTAAGACTGAAGCCACATTAAGATTCTTGAGATTAGATGTGATTCAAAAAATAACCAGGAGTCTTTGGTCATCTCTTTGATTCCAAATTTGGGGAATGTTTCATTGATAACCACTGTTTTGCAGCCAGTGTGAGATCATGCTAGGGAAAACAGTTGCCAGATGATGGGAATTAGTGTTGAATAAAAGACAAAACATGGTACATTGCTACACTATGAAGACTGAAGAGCTTTTATAACAAGCTTTGGGTAAATAGAGTATTATGAAGTAAAAAAAGTTCAAAGTAGTTATCACAAATTAGCTCTTCAGTACTAATCAATATATTCTTCACAAATTATCACTTAGGTGTAAAACTGCTTTGCATGGGAATAATGTCAGCAAGCAGAACCTAGAAGGGAGCTATGTGAGGGAGAATTTGGAGGCTGTGACAACCTTAGGAAATAACATTGTCTAGCACAGCAACAAAATGATCACAGGAACAACACTGACTTGGATAGAAGAATTTGACAATGATGTATATCAGAATTTTAAATTTTAATTGGAAAGCAAAAGTTCAAGCTTATTATCAGCATCCTAAGAATAAATATACTTGCAAAGCATTGGTATGATCTGTAACATAAATACTATTCACATAATTAATTAATGAAACAGGAATCTGGAGTACTCACGTAGCCAGACGTTTCTAAATACAAACATTTTGTGGATGTCAAAATAATGGGAATAGTGGATTAACAGAGAGCACACACTGCTAGATAATTTACACATTCAAATAGAAGTGGAAATTATCTGTCTAATCATCACTAATTTGCTCTGTATTACATTGTTAATGTTGTAGCTTTAGACTCATTCTACTATTATTATAATAGGGTACTAATTTAACCTTTTCCAAGATATTCAAAGATTTTATGAGAACTTTCAAAAATGGGCAAAGTTAAAATGAAGAAGAAAATAGCTTTTAGACCATTTAGATAAGGCATATGTCATTATAATTGAATTTGAAGATGAAATAGACACTTTACTTGATTAAATTTAGCTCTGAAGTTATTGGTCATAAAGGCAGAAATGGAAATCATCCTGCAAAATTCTCACCAATTATTAGGAGGAATTATACAAGGTTTCTGTTAATTTTTTCTTCTTTGATAATCCTTCTTTGAATTACTCCTTAAAAATAAAAAATAATCCAGTTTAACTGTCATTCTGTTACTCCTTAGCACTTTGCATTTTTTTATAATAGAATCTTTGTTAATGTAAAAATAATATCATCACAGATTGAGGTTATGTGAAAAGATGAAGGAATCCTTCCAAAATTGATATTAAAAATTTGCCACATCCATAAGCATGAGAAACTCTTTGTTTATGCTGTGATAAAGGATAGGACTAAATATTACTGGATTTGAATACTGATATTAGTCTTTTAATTTTGAATTTTTTAATCAGGTTTCACTTTTCACTCCCCCAATGCCCACAATGACTGAAGCTGGTCCAGGAGCCCAGGTATTTGAACCCTCACTGCTGCTTCTCGGGGTCTGCATTAGCAGAAAGCAGATGTCAGAGCTGAATCTAGGAATGGAACGTAGACACTTGGATGTGGGACACACATATCTTAACTGCTCAATTAAACATTCACTCCCAAATCCTTTGCAATCCCTTTTTGATTGGTTTTATATGTATGGCTTCTATTAAATTATTTGACTTCTGGGAAACTCAATTTCCACATTTGCAAGATGATGCTACTAGCATGTTCCTTGAAGATTTATTCAAGATTTTACCTTGGAGATTACAATATGGCAAGCTGAAGTTGTAGCCTCAATGTGTCCCTCCAAAATCCATAATTTGAAAATCTAATCACTAATGTGATGGTATTAGGAGGTGGGACCTTTGGGAGGTGATTTAGGCTTAGTGTCCTCATAAAAGAGGCCGCAGAGTGTTTCAACTATGCCTGGGAGCTTTCCCATGTGAGGAGGCAGTGAGAAGTCATCATCTATAGACCAGAAAGTGGGTCCTCAGTAGATGCAAAGCCTGCCAGCACTTTTTTCTTGGACTTTCAAGCCTTTGGAGTTATGAGCAATAAACTTTTGTTCTTTATAATCTGCTCAATAAAAGTGTTTTATTATAGAAGCCTGAATGGGCCAAGAAAGCTACTTAAAATATATTTGGTAAATATATTCATCCCTGAAACATGCATGTAAAATCTTCTTGGCTTCTAGAACACTCTGGAAAAAGGTTATTTCCAATGATACAGTAAACTATTTTTTAGTATGTAAAAGGAATACACTCTAAAATGACAATAAAATACAGTAAATATAAGTACAGAGACCAGTAGCTTAATTGATTATTTTTATTAGCATTATGAACTGTATATAATTGTGTGTGCTATACTTTTGCATGACTGGAAGCACCCTAGGGTTGTTTATACAACCCCTAGCATCACACCAAACACACGAGTAGTACATTATGCTGTAACAATATGACAGCTAGAACATTATGAGATCATGGGAGATTTTCAGCTTCATTGTAACCTTTGTTGAATGTATGGTCCATTACTGACCATGAATTGTATATGTGGTATATGACTGTAGTTTTGTCTGCTTAATGATACTTTATTATTGGAACTGTATACTTACAATAAGACAAGACCATGATAACGAACATAAACACTGATTCTGAGGTTCAGTTTCCATAGCTTACTTTACCATTTTCTCTGTTTAAATGATATCTGCCCACAGCTTATTTTGTTAAAAAAGATAAATAAATATCTGAGAAGCTCCATGAAAAAAAAAACACACATAAGCCTCCATAATTATAGTGTTTCATAGAGTCTAGTGATCAAACTTTGTTTTCTAGACTCTTCTGTGTACTTCAAATTCTAGAGTGTCTTCTGTGACTTACTTTCTTTTTAGATGCTAAGAGCTCTGGTGTCCACAGGATAATGTGATAGATGTCATGCCACTGGCTCTGTGCATAACCCACCTGATAACTTCTTGTTTTCTATTTTCCTTATGTTTGAAGGTAGCTATGTGTCCCAGATTCCATTCAGATCGTTCAACAGAAACACTCCCTGAGGAATCAAATATTCATGCCAATTTCTACTGAAGGTATAGTTTATAATGAAACATAAAAACATGAATTATTGCTTCATTCAGAAATTAGCTTATTCCCAGAGCCTTTAAATTGGCCGTGATCAAGACACTAAAGTGGAGTGAACCTCATGATTAGTGTCTGAGCTTCCTATGACTCACAGTAACCTCAAGGAATCACTGAGGAGACTGTAGTTGTTTAAGCTGAGCATTTTATTATGTTTATTCTTAAATACATAGGAATAATTTATTCAATTTAGTACAAGACTAAAATTTACTTCCATCTAAATCTAAATCTTTTGTGAAAACTTGAAAAAAACTATAGATCTTCATTTGTTGCCTTGGTATCTGTTACGTTGATCTTGAATCATTTCATTAATTGCTCTAAAACTCGAGTTCAGAATAATAAAATTGTGTGTATAGCTTTATTAATCCTTGCTTTGCTTTTGTCTTGTTGCCTTCCATGGGATAATCTCAAACCTTGATTAGTTATTTAAAAATCAATATCTTATAAAGAGAAAATTGCTTTTATATCTTTACTCTACACTGTTTTGCTACACAGCATTATTGGTTTAAGTGAAGAAATGTTAACTGCTTGAATTAAAAGAAATCTTATACATGGCTGGATATTGCAGTCTCAGCAGCATGGACTACTGTGTGACAAAGGAAACACATTATTAAAGTAGCTTATCATTTATTCTGCAAAATTCCTTGAGAATCAGTGTCACTTCTGCTAATTGGCAACTTACTACATTGTCCATTGTTTTTTGCACTTGTTTGATTGTTTTTATTGACACATGATTTTAAGAAGTTGGTATTGAGATACTTTTAAATTTCTAATAATTTCTTTTCACAATATTATAATGGTGTCCCTTTATCCATTCATCCGGATTGTGTATATTTACTTTAATTCTTCAAACTTCTGGTAGAAGCTTGAAGTTAGAGACTTTAAAATCTTCCTAGCACCAATTTAGATGAATAATGTGGATGAATAATGTGGATTTTATTGTTTCTTGTTCCCTATGTAAGGGATGTCTCTGGGCCTAGCCTCCAAATGACATATAATTGTAATGTTTAGCATAGCTGTATTAGATTATGTTACAGATCAAAATGCCCTTCTCTCTTGACTCTTCGGACAGAAAGTGAAGCCATTTTGAAGTCATGTTCCCTTACCTATGCTGTGCTCACTGATTAACATGACGCTAGAGCTGAGAAACGGCCCATTCATTCTTAAGAGTATCAGCAAATTGGATTCTGGGAAGGTGTCAGAACACCATCAAAAACATTTGGAAAAGTAGGCAGTATATAATGTAAGGAGGTTCATGAATGCAAGCAACATTGGTTATATAAAAATAAATCATATGACAAAAGTAACTTTTTAAAAATAAGCAACATTTTGACTTCCTCATTTCCAACTGGATTGTTTATTCTGTTGTTGAATTTCTTGAACTCTTTATAGCTTCTGAATATTAACCCTTTATCAGTTACATAGTTTGCAAATATTTTCTCCCATTCTGTCGATTGCCTCTTCACTTTGCTGTGTTTCTTCTCAATTTGATGCAATCCCAATAGTTGATTTTGGCTTTGACTGCCTGTGCCTCCCGGGTCTTTTCCAGAAATTCTTTGCCTGTGCCAATATCTTGAAGGGTCTCTCCAATGTTCTCTAATAACTTGATGGTGTCGGGTAGATTTAATTAGGTCTTTGGTCCATTTTGAATGGATTTTTGTGTAAGGTGTAAGGTAGGGGTTTTGTTTCATATTTCTGCATGTGGAGATCTACTTTTCCCAGCACCATTTGTTGGAGAGACTGTCCTTTCTCCAGGGATTGGTTTTAGCTCCTTTGTTAAAGGTAAGTTAGTTGTAGATGTATGGATTGATTCCTGGAATTTCTGTTCTGTTCCATTGGTCTACACATCTGTTTTTGTGCCGGTATCAAGCTGTTTTGATTAAAATTGTCCTGTAGTATGTCTTGAAATCTGGTATTGTGATGCATCGGGCTTTGCTGTTGTTTTGTAAGATTGCCTTAGCTATTCGGGGTCTCTTGTGTTTATATATGAATTATTCTGCTAAATGGCATAATTACACAATTACATGCAATTGGTATGGGTTATTTATTTATTCATTTATCACTGAATGTTCAGTGTGGTTCCAAGCACTGTCGAGACAAGCTTCGAGTCTGGAATCAGATACAGGTTTAAAACAGCTTCAATACTTGCAAGCTGTATGAGCCTGAGCCTCTAAGGCATATACTTTATTCATTCTGTTATTGAGAGGACTTAGAGAAGATGAATTCACATTCGGATTCTGGCACAGAGTAGGAGTTCAATGGATATTAATTGTCTCTTTTATCCATCCTCTCCTCTATTAGAGAAAAAATGCATTTGATTCACTCCCTAAGGGTAGAAGCTAATGGAGAACAGCTGAGGTATAACTGGAACAAACCAGAGAGTTGATAGATTTTGCTACTCCAGACAGAAGAATTTGAACTACTGGAAAGGGCTTAAACTAAGCAGAAACTGCCTGCTTTGAAAAACCAAGAAACCATAGTCATTCAAGAAATAGGAAGGTTTAGAAACTCAGTGAGTTACAAAATAATATCCATGTGGGATTTAAATATAGTAAAGCTGATCATGGTGAACAGCCGAGGGAGAGGGAATCCGATGAGTGTTAATACATTCAGGATGTAGACAGGCCGTGCTGATTTTTAATATTTGAGGACTGTTTTCTCTTCCTTTTTACTCCTTAAAAAGTGAATATGTTTTAATGTTTTGCAAGTCTAATATTTGGCCATTTGTTTTAAAGTAAGCTTTATGTGATCATCCTGAATTTCTGGAATTTTCAGGTTTTTTTTAAAGATTTATTTTCATTTATTTGAAAGACACAGTTGTAGAAACAGAGAGAGAGAGAGAGAGAGAGAGAGAGAGAGAGAGAGTTCTATCCACTGATTCGCTCCCCAAATGGCCACAATGGCCAGCACTGGGTCAGACTGGAGTCAGGAGCTAGAAGCTTCCTCCAGGTCTCCTTCATGGGTGCATGAGCCCACACACTTGGGCCATCCTCCACTGTCTTCTCAGACACATCAGCAGAGAGATGGATATGAAGTGGAGCAGCCAGGATTTGAACTGGTTTCATATGGGATGCTGGCACAGCAGGCTGAGGCTTTACCCACTACACCACAGCGCGGCCTCTCTAGTTTTTCTAGTAAGAAGAACTATAAAGATTCAAGATAAGGGCATGGCACAAAATGGGATTTTAAAAAATGACCAAAAAGTGGAAATTAATTTTCTTCTAAGACTCATGGTGATAGTTTTTTACTTTTCAATAATAATTCTCCTATGGAGTATTGTGATAGTCATAGTAATATGGGATTAGGGGTACTGAAAAGGAGAAAATAGCCACAGGTAGAATGCATGGAATTTGGCTCATTGGATGCGGCAGAAATAGAAACAAGCATTAGAGAAGTTTGACATATAACGAAGAGGAAAATGAACTTGGGTCCCTAGAGATTGTTTAAATTCTAACTCTAAATGGGCAAGGAATAAATGTGACTTGAAAGAAGACATACAGATGGTCAATGTATATATGAAGATACCCGACATCACTAATCATCAACAAAATGCAAGCCAAACCACAAGAAAATATCACCTCATACCTGTTAGAATTGCTATTATCAGAGAAAATAATACACCAAGTATTGGCAACGACGTAGAAAACCAGAAACCTTATACACTGTTGATGGGTATGTCAATGGTGCAACTACTATGGAAAACATTAGGGAGGTGCCTCAACAAATTAAAAACAGAATTTCCATGTTATCCAGTGACCTGACTTTGGGGTATTTATCCACAAGAATTGAAATGAGAACCTTGAGATATTTACATGTTTGTGTTCATTGCAGCATTATTCACAATAGCCATGACCTGTAACCAATCTAAATGCCCATCAATGGTTGGATGGAAAATTAATGACATCTAAGCATACCCAAATATATCCTCAAAAAAGAAGGAAATGTTGCTATATGTAATAACCTGGACGAACCTTATGATATCATGCTAAGTGAAATAAGCCAGTCACAGAAGGACAAATTCTGCATGATTCCACTTAAAGGAAATATTTAAGATAGTCAAACACATAAGCAGAGAGCATGGTGTGCTTTAAAGGCTGGGCAGAAAGGAAAACACAGAGTTGTTATTCCAAGGATGTAATGTTCAATTGTCCAAGATGAAGAAATTCTACAGATGTATTATATAATATTGTGCCTATAATTAATACTATGTTGTATACTTAATATTTTATTAAGATAATAGATCTCATGTTAAATGTTCTTACAAAAATGAATTGGTCTGAACCAGCCTAGTGTTTTAAGAGTTTTAGTACTGTTTGCATACAAATATAAAGAAATGATAACACATTTATATATTTGATTAAAGGTTTCTTAACTATAGCAATAGTACATATTCAATGTAGAACATTTAGAAAATTGATAAAACATGAAAAAGGAATGAAATTCACCCATAATCCTACATTTCAGATATAGCCATGCTGAAATTTTCATGACTTATATCTTGAGTTTATATTTGTATTTATATTTTATAAAACATATATATATATTTGTGTTATATATTATATATTATTTATATAATATATATTTTATATGTTATATATAAATATATATTTGTGTGTTCATAATTGTGGAATCATATTGTGTATATTTAATATGTAAGTTCATTTTTCTCAGTGTATCCTGAGCAATTCCTAAGTTATTAAATATTCTGTGAAAAGATTTTTAGTGACTATATAATAAGTTACTAGACATACCAACAATAATGTGTGTGATCATTTCCCAGTTATGGGATATTTGGTTGTTTTCCTCCTCCTAATATAAATAACAGTAATGGAAATTTTCAAGAAAATTAGTTTTTCTTTATTAAAGTTCCCATAAGTGAAACTGAGTCAAAAGGCATAAAGTTAAAGACACTTAGTAAAAATTAAAAATTTGCTTTCTCCCAAAAGAAACTTTACTGCGTTATTTTCTCATGTAATCTCTCAGTTCTCAAAGATACTCCAACTGTGAAGAGAGCATAAAATGATTACTCTATTTTATGACTTCCAGCTATGATGGAGTAATTGGTATCAGCCTTGTGTTATGATCCCACTTGTACAAGTGTACAAATTTTAACTGCATATGTGCACATATTGAATA